AGAGCAGTTGCTTCTTCTATTCCTCTGGAGTGGGCTTTGAAGAGAGAGACTTCCTCTTCTTCTTCTGGTCTCCACGGGTGACTCTTCTTGTGTCAGTTCAGTCAAGTGGCTGAGGCTGCTACTGTGGCTGCTAGCCATTGTTTTGGCAGCTGTGGTGTGGAAGTGGCGTTTTTAGTGTGCTCTTGCCTTCTAGGAGACATTTTTGTGAAGAAGACAATTCCAGATTTATCCTGATATTTCCAACTCAAATGTAGGATTACAAAGTTTTTACTTAGCTGCTTTGATTTTATATATTTTTTATCTCTTTTCTACTATGATAAAAATATTGATTTCTAATGATATTAGCATAAATACTTGTTATAACATATGCAAAAATAGTTTTAAAGAAATAATGCCAACATTGTTATTAATAATATGATTACTAAAAACAGTATAAGATTTTTTTATGTTGCTAGGGAAAAGTCATCCTTAGGTATGGTTTTAAAGTCACTTGAAATATTTTCTTTTTTCCCCCTTTTTTTTGTAGCTATGCCACAAACTTGATACTTCCTGGCACATAGTAGGCACCAACAAAATATCTGTTGAATGAATATGAACACAGATGAAATAATGCAGCAAAGGTGGAAGACATTTTTCCTTGTGAGGAGGTTTTGTTTCCCTCCTCTACATTTTTCCTGTCATTAACTTCTCTAATTTCTATCCTTTATCTTCTTCATTCCACCTCAGTTTCCAAGTAATTATCAACTCTTTACACTCTTCTCCACCCTAACGAGCTGGCCTGTCACAAGCATGCTTAAAGCTCTCCTCTTGCTGCATCCCCAGATTCCCTTCGTAACCAATCACACATGCTTGAGAAGAAACAGTCTGAAACACAGCATGTGACATAGTCCCTCACTTCTGTACAGGTGAATTTAGGGGCACACCACAGTGCAGGGGAAGCTGGACATACAGCAGTATGCCTTGGCAGGTGCTGGGATGGTACTAAGAGCCCAGCCAGAACAGGGCAGGCAGGATGAGGCTTTCCCTGCGCTCCCAGCCCACTCTAGGCTCTGCATGCAGACTCCGTGGAACAGCTGGTCTTCCTGCTCTCTTGACTGTCTCCTGAGCTCTGTCCCAGTCCCTCAGAGGTTCCTGCCATCTGCCCCCCTCCACCTCAGCCTGACCCCACAGCTTTCTAGCTTCCCTACCTATGCCTGAAGTGGTCTCTCTCTGGGCTGCATCGTGTAAGGCATCTTATGTCCCTTTCATGTGGCTTTCTTCTCCCACTGAGTTATTGAGAATGGGGATCCATTAAAACAACTTTTAAAAATAGGAAGGAAAGAGATTGCCGTTTATGGAGTACTTACTGTGTGCTGGATACTGTGCTAAGCCTTGTTTTTGTGTTATGTCACTTAATTCTTCTAACTCCCCTATGAAGAAGGCCTTTCATTTTCCCAATGAGGAAGATGAAGACCAGCGAAGTTAATGTAACGTTCCTGAGCCTGGCTTACACCAAGACCCAAGGATGCAGGCGGTCCCTGTGGAGTAGGTGCGCTTAGGGAAGCAGAAGCAGGTGGACTTCCCTGCAGTGGGGCAGCCACTTTGGGAGAAGCAGAAATCAGGCACAGGCAGCAAGGGATGGGTTTTTAAGTGAATAGCCATTTTTAATTAGTACTAATGAGAGACAGAGCCATGCGTATTTAGCAGGTCGCTTGGGAATAGCAAGTAATTTTTGTCTTCTGGGTCTCAAGTTTCACCCCCAGCTTTGTCTTCTGCTGGCTGTGAGCTCTGTGCAAGTTACTCTGTCTCACTGAGCTTTAGTCCCTTCACTGGGGAAGGGGATAGCAGTACTTGCCTCACCGGCATGTATGTGTAAGCACCAAACACAGTACTTGCTACATTCTAAATGCTAAATAATCTCTAATAATATTATTAGATTTTTTATTACTCTTTCAGTGTCTTCCTCCCCCTACCCCGCCACTAGACTGAGGGTCTCTGTGACTCCTTCAATGTCTATTTTGTTCCACAATTCCTGGAACAGAGGCTGTGCTTACTGTAGCTGATGTCATTGAAAAGACTGAATAAGCTTTGGATGAGTGAAAGAAGCTGAAATCTTTGTTTTTATACATATATACATATATATATATATATATATATATATATATATATATATATATACATACATACATACACACACACATACATACACACACACATACATCTACCTCCCATATTGTAGACCTGGCAAACTTAGAATTACTGTCCATGGTATGGATATTTATTTATGTGGCTGAGCAAAGTAGCTTTGGATTTGGTTGAGAGGAGGGGATCATTTCTATTTTTTTAAAAAATCTGTGCTAAATATAGGAAGACCTTTAGCATCTCATCCAGGTTCGTGTAAAATCAAATGACACAAATCACCTATCCCTACAGATAGATCTCCTCTTAGAGCATAGCTTTGTGCAGAAGGCTTAGGAATAAATGGAATTTATGTATCTTGAATCCCATTTTCCCTGAATTCTGTAATAATTTCAGGTGTTAACAAGGTAACTAATATTATGGCTTTGAGTTTTCTATTCTCACCTACTGTGTTCTGTAAACAGATGCTTAAGTACATGAAAGAATCCTGTCATTTAAACATACCCCACAAGGAATCCTATTATAATGTCAGTAATCACCTATCCACTGGGGAGAGGTGCCAGTTTTGCTGTGATGCTTCAGGGACAGGGGTGGTGCTGGAAGTTAGGGACAGTCAGGGCCTGGGCATTCAGACTTTTAAACATACCCCACAAGGAATCCTATTATAATGTCAGTAATCACCTATCCACTGGGGAGACGTGCCAGTTTTGCTGTGATGCTTCAGGGACAGGGGTGGTGCTGGAAGTTAGGGACAGTCAGGGCCTGGGCAGTAAGACCGGGCATTCAGACTCTTCCTAACCCCACCCACCCTGCCCTGGGGGTGAAATTCTGTGGCCATTGCTCCTTGTCTGAAGGGACAGAATTAATTTGGGCTTTACTTGGGCAGATTGCCATCCCAGGCCAATCTGTGGGTGGACACAACCACCACCCGCTAGGTGTTAGGAGTAGCAATTTTGCCTGGTGGACAGCAGCATCAGGACTCTGGCCACCCAGTCTTTTCACCCATGGCCAGAAACCAAAGAGAGAAGGGCACTGGCTAAGTGGACTGAGGTTCAGAGGGGAATAAGCATGCTGATTAGGGAAACCAAGGCAGTGCAGTTCATATGGACTAAGTCAGGTTGGTGGTGTCAGGGGAAGGCTGAGACTTAAAGGGTCCACCATCGCCCAGGGCTCGTGGAATGCCTGGTGTGAGGCCAAGCGCAATGGCATGCTGCTGGCTAGTGCGTGGAGCTGCAGCTCCTGTGTTGCCCTGCTCGGAGCAGACCCAGATATGGGACTTGGTTCCGCTCTCAGGTGGAAAGCTCCAGGCACAGCATCTGGGTGAAGCTCAGACCAGAGTGACTTCTTCCTTTTGGCTAGTGTGGATTTTTGCTTTTAAAACATATTTCACATATTTTTTAGTAGATGAACATCTGAGAAAACTCATATTACAAAAGGACTTACCTATTGGAAAAGTGAAAAGTACCTGGGAAATCCAACCTCATGGTCTTTATTTCTAGAGAGAGTGCTTAGACCTGCTGAGACACTTTTGCTGTCAAAGAGCAGCGGTTCTGCATCAGAATCACATGGATGTATCGTTAGATCTAATTGCTGGGCCCATCCCCAGAATTTCTGAATTAGGATGTCTGAGGTGGGCCCTGAGAATTTGCATTTCCAGCAAATTCCCAGGTTGTGCTACTGCTGCTCCTCCAGGGGCCATACTGTGAGAACTGATGTCATAGAGTAATTCATTTATTTATTTGCCGTGCTGTGAATGTAAATTATGTATTTCTTGTCAAGTCAACTATTGCTATAAACACCTTTGGTTTATGTACTTTTTTATGTCTCTTTTGAACAGGTATTTTGATGTTGGACTACATAATTTCTTAATCAGGTAAGCCAGTACTTTTTTTTCTATTGTTTTAAATATCATTGAGTAGCATGTCTATTATGGAAGACTGAGATGGAAAATAAATCCTTGTTAAATATCTTGATAAATAATGGTAGCTGTATACTCGTCAAAAAAAAAAAAAAAAACTACCCAAAACACTGCTGGCTTTTTTTAAACTTTTCTGTGTTTAAAGGGGTTTATATCTGAACTGATGGTTAACCAAGATCTTGGACAAGCTTAATTCTAACAACTAGGCTGCTGGCAAGAATAAAGAAGTGAGAAGTGATAGCTTGTAACAGACACTAAACAACATACTTAACCAATTTTCCCTTCTTTGAATTAGTCTTTTTAAACTGAATCTACTGTTTGTTTTAAAGTCATGAAGATACAACCGTGTTCATGATTGAAAGAGATTACAGATAGCAGTTTATATCCTGGTTTATTGGTGATTTTTACCAGAGTTGGCTTATGGGGCATATTAATTTCAAATAGCTATTAAATCAGACAGAGGTTAAATGGAAATATACCAGAATATTAACAGTGTTTGTAAGAATGTTCAGGATATTTTTTCTGCTATCGACTTTGCTGTATTTTCTAGGTTTTTTATATGGAGCATCTATTATGGTGAAAAATGATTATTAAAATGCCTGTTAAAAATATAGGAGGGAGGCAATAATGGCTGCTGAAGGACTATAAGCTAAAGATTGTAAGGAAACCAGAAGTCACATAGAGTGAAGAAGTCGTGTAGAGCGATTTGCTTTCTGCAAATTTGTGACTCTAAGTGCTGACTAATTGTGACTAATACACAAGCTGTAGACCGAATGTGGTGTCTGGATAGGTGTCAAGGTGGTTTGCTTCTCCACGTGCACGTCCTTCTGCCTCTTGGTAAGATGCTCTCTGAGGAGAAATGTACGTAGTTGACATCACTTTTCTCCTCAACCAACAGCATTTCCTCTGTGCTGGATTGCATATAATGGTGTTGCGAAGGAGGCCATGTGTACATTGTCCTCTTTCCTAAGGCCTCATCCAGGGTAGCACGTTGAAATCTCTTTAATCTACCCCAGATTCAGGGAATATGGGTTGTCCTGGCTCTCTCCAGGATTTCAGACACAGATAGTAGTGTGTAGACAGCTACCCTGGACACAGCAAGGGTAAATTCATTTTAGCAGGAAGGGGTAAAGGACCAGCAGTCATGGGAAAGGCAGGCGTGAGAGCTCTATATCTAAACTGATCAGGAAGAGCTGTCTGGGCGTGCTTCAGGGAATAGTTTGGATTTTTTTTTTTTCGCCGCTGGTTGGTGGATCCAAACCCTTGACCTTGGTGTTACAACATCGCGCTTTCACCAGCTGAGCTAACAGTTCTGCCCCTAGTTTAGATGTTTGAGTTGATGTGTTTGGTACTTTGTACGACTCCCGTGGTACCGTTCACGTAATGCCTTGTGACGGATGCAAGTTTGTATTTTTTCTTATTATCTCTGTAACTTTCTGAGGGCAGGGATCATGTCTTAATCATCTTAATGATTAAATTCAGAAACTTGTATAGAATCATCCTTCAACAAACATTTGTAGGAGTGAGTGAAATGACAGAAGGGCAGGGAGGGTGTGGCAGATGGAGAAAAGGCTGTTCAGTCATTTACTCAGCAAATGTGAAGCATGCCGTGTGCCACTTACTTGGATATGACTGGGAATATGGTCATTTGCCAGAAGAGACATTTGATTTAAAGCTTTCCCTGAGCTGATCCCTTGCCAGGCTTGTGGTTTGGGTGAGGGGTGGTCTGCGTCTGGGAACCCTCCTCCCTTTCCTTCTCCAGGGCTCCAGCCATTTCTCCTGTGTTGGGTCTGGAGGAGGGAGACGTAATGGTCAGCGGCTCTAATGTAACTGGAGCTCGGATCCACTTGCCCCAGCAGGAGGCCCTTTTCGGTGTGTACCGGAAGATGCTCTAACCTTAATCACCTTAACCAGCGTTCTGTGACACATGCAGAACTGGGGGAGCAAGGCTTCTCTCTGCCCCGCCGTCTCCCTGTAGTTTTCCTTTCCGTAACTCTGGTAGGGGCAGAACAAGTCAACACATCCATTGCTTATACAACTGGGGAGCGAGAGGTAGGCTCTCCTGCTTGCAGGCCTCCCCGGTCCTTGTCAGTAGGTCTCTTTACCCCCTGTCGCATGACAGCACCCCCCACCCCAAGCAAACAACTTAAAGACTCCAAGGAGTCGCCTCCTCTTTCCTCTTCCCGTGGGGGTGGGGGTGGTTGCTGGGAGCAGACCCCGTTCTCCATCTCTCAGTAATCCCAGGATGGGGTGGGCGTCTTCCTCTGTATTTGCAGCTCTCTTTAGAGAATGGGTCCTTTCTGCTCCCTGCTTGGGAGGTGAGCACCATTTATGATTGGGTCCAGTAGTGACAACTATTGCATTGGAGCAGTGACCCTGGACCAGGTTGAGGAGGTGGAGTGGGCACTGAGGGAACAGCAGCAACCAATCTTGTGAGAAGTTGAGCCGTCAAGGGAGGAAAGCGAGATATGGGGCAGCTGGTGGAGAGGGTGGGCCAAGTGGGCCTTTTCTCTCTTTAATGAGAGGATCTCTTGTATTTAGCCACCAGAAGGTGTTAAGTGCCCTTTCGATTTAGAGAAAGTGGTTGCAGTTGGGTGGAGAGAAGCAGAGTGTGATTGCCAGGGGCAGTGAGTGGTCACGTAGCAACCCCAGAGAGCAATGACATTTTCCTGTAAATGTATCACTAGAGAAAACCTTACAGGGTAGGAAGACTGAGGTGGGGGGTGCAGGGGGCAGGGGTGGTACTTGAGGAATCCTCTGTGATGGTCAAGGGAAGAAAGTATGTTTCCCTTTGAAAAGGGGAAATGTGGGAGAAATTGGCATAGTTTTTTTTTTTTTCCAGGTTAACTTTATTTATGAGGTTACTTCAAAGAGTTCATGGAAAAGTAGAACCAAAAGATAATATGAATCTTTACATGTCCTTCTAGAAGACCTCTTACATTAGCTCCAACTAGCTCTTAAGGTGTACTTTGGTTTGTCAGATTGTATTGAATGCTTAGTGTTTGGCATAAAAGAAACTGTGGCATGCCTGAAATTAATCAGCTGCGTCTTTTACATTGGTGGAAGTAATGTCGACTTCTCAGGAATGACATAAATTTCCACAAAGCCGAGAACCCTATCTGTGATCTCAGCCTAGGCAGCTGCAAGGAGTGACACACTTCCTTTAAGTTGTTGGAGTGCTCCACTGAGCTACAGGCAGGAAGGAGCTGTCACATTTAATGAAACGGGAGCATTTTTGGTATTAGTGTTTTATGGTGACTGTGGGAAAATTCAGTGAGCTCGATCCTGCATCTTATAGAAATCCAAGAAAGACTTTTGGGAAGTAGTTATCACAGCTCACCCAAGAATAGCCTCAGAAGAAGACTATTGGCTGGAGTTCTTAGTGTGACACTACAAAAGAAAAAAAGCACCAACCAAGGGAAGGAGATTGTAGAATAATACAGCTCTGTTTCATTACGGATAACAGGGCGACTTGTTTAAATTTAGCATAGTTGAGCTTTGGGAAGAAAGTTAAAAAAAATCATAATTTCTGGTTTGATTCTTGCTGAGGCATTTTTCATCTTACCCAGAATTGTAGCCAACCGTAAGCCTTTTAAGACGGAAGGTGTACACGTGATCTCACTTAGATGTGGAATCTAAAGAAATCGAAATCACAGAAGCAGAGAGTAGAATGGTGGTTACCGGGGTTGCTGGTGGGGATTGGTGGGGATTGAGGTGATGCTGGTCAAAGGATACAAAATTTCAGTTAGATAAAGAGGAATAAATTCAAGGGCTCTATTGTACAACGTGGTGACTACAGTTAATAACAACGAACTATATATTTGAACATTGCTAGGAGAGTAGACTTTAAGTGTTCTCACAACAAAAGAATGATGAATATGTGAGGTAATGCATGCGTTAATTAGCTCGATTTCGTCGTTGCACAGTGTATGCATGTTTCAGAACTTCATGTTGTACACCGTAAATATATACAATTTTAATTGGTCAATTTAAAAATAATAAAAAATTTTTTAATTTAAATTTTTGTTCCTTTCTAAGTTCCTCAGGTGGGGGAATAGTTTTAAGTGATATAGGATGCCATCATGACTTTAAAAGAGGACTGACTGGGAGCCGTCCTCCTCTCAGTTTCTCTGAAACATTAAATTTGTCAGTTTCCCTTCTTGCCATTTTTGATTGCTTATGCTTATAAATTTAAAAATCAGGAAAGTCTTCACCCGTATTTTCTCCTTGTTTTCTGTATTGTTTATATTTAACTCTTTAATCCATCTTGAATATGTATTTTAAATCAAGATCTAGCTTTTTTTCCTCAACAAAAAAATATTCTCTAAATCATCACTTTCCATGTTCACAGATCGTATGTGAGTTCGCCAGAAACAGTGTGCCAGTCCTAGCAGGAATGCCAAGTGTGAGGATAGTGCCCTGGATACTTCTTGGGCAAATAGAAAAAGGCAGTGAGCCTCTGGTATGGCCCTAAAGCTATTTGAGATTTCTGGCATTAATATGGTCCTCAGAAGATAAATTGCTTTGTATAAGTAAACAGATTCTGCCTACAAAATGGTATTCGGTACAGTGCAGATCTAATCTTGTACAAACGCTAACATGTATATGAAACAGCATGAGTCGTTTTGAAGCATGAGATTGCTCTGATGAGACAGAGGGTAGACGGGTTGGCTGTTCACTTCTTGTGATGTCTTTTCTTCTGCTGCTGGAGGTAGGTCCAGGCATTCCACCAGGATCTGGGTATCTTTGAATTGCCAAAAGGGCAGAAAGTTTTATTAATATGCGTATTGATGGCTCACTGAATTCTGAAATGAGCAAATCTGGTATTACCTGCTTTTGGCTTTCCCGTGTTGGCACCCTTTACCTGATGCATTCGTGAAACTAGTCCTACAGCGGAATGGAATGAAGTGGTGCTGGGGCTAACAACCATTAAAGTATTGAACTTTATGAGGCCC